CAGTCCTGCCTCCAAATTGCAGTCCAAAGTCTGTTTTTTCATGCTGAATTTCCTGAACTAGCAGCATCAGAAAGTGCTAATTCAGACAAATGCCTAATATTTTACAGTGAATTTAATGAACAAGGAGTCAGGAAATGCAGAGGAAAAGCAGCATCTCAGATGTGTTTTCTTCTGGAATATGATTACCAAACGTGTTTTCTTTCAAGACTCCAGAGGAAGTGGAGCATTTATGTTTTCACTCTTGTGTCTTTGATCCCCTGAGTGCAAGCATTCATTTTTTAACATTGTCATTGAAATTTGAATTGCATTTCCAGGTGATTAAACAGGAAACATGGCATGTACAAGCATGATATCATCTTGTTTAAGTAAAGAGGTGCAACTGGATGCAAACATCTTTCTCTGACTAATGAAGATGGTTTTAAACTCACAACACAAAAGAGAGTTAAAGCTCAATGCACAGAAGCTGTCAATATGAGTGGCTGAGGACTATATAATATTGCTAAGAATTGGAATCAGGAGTTGTGCCTCAAGAGCAGTTACATGAAGGCAAAGCTCCATAGTGATAGAAAAAGAAAACAAGAACAGAGGATTACATTTCTCTGAATAGGGCTGAGCTAGTTGCAGAGACAAGAAGGTTCCCTCATAGCGGCAACCACAGCAGAAGGAACCCAACAAAGGCCATTCTGAGAAGAGACCCTTTCTTATATTAGTTCAGTCTTCTGGATAGGCAGAGAAATGTGGAGTCTGGCTACTTTAAAAGGGTGAGATTGTCTGAAGGACTTTTTAATGCATTTTCCAACTTGGTTTGAAAAGGGATGGCCAAATCACCAAAGATATGTGGTAAACCTTCTTACTGAATGTCACTGAAGTCAGAAGCAAGAAGGAGCAGTGAATTTTGACTTTAAGACTGGTCTTCTGGTAAGAAAAGTGATTTGGGATGGAATTAATGGAATGGAATGAAGAGAAAGAGAGCAGAGCTTGAATTAGCAGTCTTAATTTGCCCCACTTTTCTAAGATAATGAGTGAAGAGGAGACTATTGGAGCCACCAAGAAGGAGGGCTAACACTCCTGTGCCGAAGTTTGTTAGTATACAACTCTGGAAGGGTACTGGCTAGAATCAAGCACAGAGGAAGAAGGCCTATATCATTTCTCAGCAGTAGCCTTCAGCACTCCAGAAATCCTGAACGCTTAGTCCTGGTTCCCTTGCTAAGAGGCCATACCCGGCAATCAATGCAGTGCATACCAAATGTTGTAGTGCATGTTTCCAACCAACAAGGTGCTAACATAAATGTAGCTAATCTGGTTAAAAAGTACAAGCACTATGGGAAAGATGCTTTCAAGAAATAAGAGTTTGCTAAGTCAAGCTCTACTACTAGACAACCTGTAAGGAGTAAAACTAATTAAAATAAAATTTCTTTTCCACAAATGAAAATACGTTCTCTTTTGCAGACAGTTTTCAAATGTTAAAGTAGTTGACCATCACAGTTAATACTATCCTAAATGCTGTCAGTCTTCTCTGTCTTCAGGGGCCACTGTACTTTTTGTCACTGCTGCCATTGGGATGAGCCTTTCAGCTTTACAGAAGAACCCTAGACCTTATATGATACTTCAATTTAGACTGTTCAGTGACCAAAACAGACAAATAAGCAGTTTTCATTATGTGTTTGATAGCTCTGATACACAAATGTTATCATGTTTCACTCTCTGTGGTATATTAGAGATCTGAACAGGACACTAAGTGACTCTTTGTGTGAGATATAAGTGAGTAGACACAGAAAGGAGGTGTAATTCCTACTGTCCAATATTTATTAGCTGAGATTGCTCTGGAAACTTCAAAATAGGACAGATTCAATGAAGACCAGCCAAATCACTTTTGCTTATAATGTAAAATAACATTTGTGTCCAGATCTCCAGAAAGTATTTCTCTTCCAGCCTGTGGATTGTATCTATCTAACCAAGCATTCATAGCTTGAAATTGCATTCGCTTCTTTTGCCTTTGTGAGATAAATCTTTATTGCACTCAAGCCCAAACAATGATTGTTCAAACAGCTTTGATGCTGGCTTGTGCAGTGGTTCAAACCTGTTGAGCCAACTGGGTCACCAGCTAGGGAGATTCTAGCTTTAGGGGTGGTTAATATGTTGAAAATGTTCGTTGGGTTTTTTTGTTTGTCTTTTTGATTTAGTTTTTCTCCTCTTTCCTATCCACTATTCTATTTTCCTTTTCTACCTTAGAACTTTCATTCTAATCCTGGACAATGCAAGGTCCATGTAGTTGGGAATTTTGTTTGTCTTTACTAATTCCTGTTGTTTGTGTTTACTAATTCCTGTTGTTGTTATATTTTGCTTCATCCACACTTACTCACATACCTACTATATAGTCAGGATTTAGGATAAGAACCAGCACTGAAATCAGCATAATTTTACATGTAATGAGATTTTAGTGTGTTAGACTTGAACTGCAGCCCTCAAAAGTTGAACCTTATCTTTCTGTGACCCATTTCCTCCACACTGGACAGGCGGCATGAAATGCTGGATGTGGATGGTCTTCAGAATTACATACAGAGATAGACAGAATATACTAATTTTAAGTGGACAGTGCATATCAAGACAACGTAATATTTTACCACTGCTGTTAATATTTACGCCAAACATGTACAGAGGCTTCAGATTTCAAAATAAATTGTGCAGTAAGTAAAGGAGGTGGACACATGATGACACAGAAAAACAGAACTCAAATATAATTCTCATTGGAGAAAACAGCCTTGAAATAATATTAAAAATATGACTAGTGGACAAAAGCCAAAGATGCAAAACTAAGGCCAGCATTTCATTCTTATCCTGGAACTTGGTGAAAAATAATTCTTCCTCCTTTTTTTTTTTTTTCTTAATATAGTTTAGAAATTTAAAAGACATGTTTTAAGTCAGATTTAAATATAAAATATTTAATCTCAAATATCTTGACTCTTCATATTGCAAAATAAACACACTCCTAAACTTTATTTCTTACTATAACATATTTAAATTATCAACAACAAAAAATGCCCACTAGTTTTCCATACTCATGCTTTTTTTTATTTCAGTCACTTTTCTCATTTGTTAATAGCAGAAAACCACATCTTGGGCTAACATTTTGGTGCTACAATGTGTAGCACAGGCATTTCATAACTGAAAAAATGTAACTTCTAGAATCAGTAAATTAAACACCGAACTTTAAATGCAATGTATGATCTTATTATGCGGACTTGTACTCACTCTTTCACTACAATTAAGATGATGACTGACACAGAATGCATATTACTATCCAAGTTAAGTTCACATATATGAGCAAGAAAAACATTAACAAGAAAACAATCTATTCTACTACACAATGACCTTATCTGAAAGCCTAATTTCTTTGGCAATGATTCAACCACATAATAAATATTGTCAGGCATAATTAGAAAAACTACTGATAAATATCCCCTTATGTTTTATATCAAATTTTTTCTTTGAAACTTGAAACTGCAGATAGTGCATCAGCTGATACAAGTTGCCTTAGCTCCACTGAAAGCAATGCCAGTTTCTGTCATCAAAGGATCTGCCTCTTTTGTCTGCTAATTTTATACATGTATTTCTATTTTATTTTTAATGCTAACATTTTAAAGAGATCCCATAGCCTTTTGCAGAGCAGGAAGACTAGTGAGGAACTCTGTACTGTAACCCAGAACCGTCCATAGCATATGGCTTAGAAGGAATATATTACTAATATTTGCTGTTCATCCTTGCACTTGGTTTAATAAAGGCATTACTACTCCCTGCCACCTTGCCATGGCTTCTTTCTTCATGGCCTTTCAGAGAGATATTTGAAAGTATTATATGGTGAGATATCTCCAGAACTACTAAAAATCAGCTGAGAAAATGGATATAAAGGAAGTATCTAAACTGTGAAAATAATTAAGGTGTTTTTATGATTGCTTTTCTTTGTGTTGATATTATTTGTTGAGATGTTCCAATTACATTATACTCCATAATGAAGTTATGACCTCACTAAATTTACTGGGTGGCATTCTACAGCCACATATTTTTATGACCATTCTATGAAAAAGGAAAATATACTAGAAATACAAATACCAAACAAATTTTTCTGAAAGCATCTTACTTTTCATATAGTTGACTGCCCTTATTCTTCCTTTATTCATACTTATAACAACATAAATATTTGTATTGATTCATTTCTGGATTAAGACAAATCAACTGTTTTAAAATGGAAAAAACATCTAAATGTCACAAGTGAGAAGAGAACAAAATTTTTCTGGATGATCAGCAGCAGAGAGAAAGTGCTTATTTTGTTTTCCTCTTTACTGCTCACCCATATAGGCCTTTTATCTCTCTGCAGTAGCTGTTGCCTTTGCCTTAGCAAATATGGGGTGTAGTTAGTAATCTTTACTTTAGACTGAATCGACATTAAGAGGTTTCCAAGAAAGAGGCATTGACTTCAGCTTTTACCATCTACCCACAGATGCAGAAGGTCAGTATTCTCAGTATTGAAGTGGTCTGTAGAGTTTCCCAATTAATGCTGCATGCATTGATACATGTAATATTAACATTCTCTGCACCAATACTGCCAAGGAATTGACTTGCATGTTTGTACTATTACAAAAGCTCACAATGCGATGGCCAAATTGAGCATGTATTTTTAAATAATATGGCTGCTTGCATTGTAAATGTCTGATTATCAGTATGGTTTTTACCTTGCTGGACATGTCACTGAAAGTGTTTTAAGAGGTAGCTTTGCAGTTTGAAGTAGTTTTGAATAGCAATGTATGCAAGCAAACAAAAGGGAAATTTAGAACTTTCCTTCAGAGGTTTCTAAATCTTGGCCACTCCAAAGTATCTTTTGAGCTTGATTTCTGACATCTGAACACTCTACTAAACTTTGAGAATCTGAAGCCTTTGCACTATCGGTCAGGAGAGTTGACATTTGTACGATAAGGAAGTAAATAGTAAATGGCTTTTTCCAGTTACATCAACACCTGGGTTCTTGTGTCAGGAAGCCGAAGTCCTACCAGACCTCCACACACTAGAACAGTAGAAGCAAGGAGAATAGGGATTGCTTTGGTGATACCAACAAGGGAACCGAATATTAAGTTTCCAAGTACAGCTGCCGCTTTGCATAGTGCATTCAAAAAGCCAAAGCCTGTTGCCCTAGAAGAGAAAACAAGAAAGTTAAAAGCGGGAGGAAGAGTAAAGCCATTGAGACAAATCCTCAGTGGGAATAAATCAGTATCATCCAGACATCTTAAAAGGAATATTGCCAACAAGGATTCTGTGCCTGTCTTTATAACACCAAATGAAAATTTAGCTGCTACAGCATTTTATTGAGACAAATGCATTCTGCTGCCTCAGGCACCAAAATGTGAAATAAGTGCCTGAATAGGTAACTTTACACCTCTACAGCAGAACAAAGGACTTGCAAATGGAAATTCAGTAACACTTAAAATGCTGGACTGGGAGACAGGAGGTGGGAAATCTTTCGTGACCTACTTGGTGATTTCATAAAGATGTCACCAGAATAAAAGAATGATCATCTTAGGGTACTGGATAGAAATGGTTTTCTTATAGGTGGTATACATGTTCAATCAGTGCTTTTTCAAAAGGCTAATGAGACCTTCAATAATAATGAATGCTTGACTCTTAGAGCTAAAGAGAATAGCACATTAAAAAAATAAAAAAAACCTGAAAAAAAACCCCACAACCATGTTTGGTGCAGAAGAGATATCTGAGAAACTTTGGAAAAAAAGGAAAGGAAATAGTTTGCCAACAGAAACTATGACCTGGACAAATCAGAGGGGCTTTTGTATTGCAGTTGTATGATTTTAGTAGTCTGGATTAAGTATTTTAGATCTTTGGTAACCCATGGATAGATGTATTATACAAACTGCCATCATAATAAATTGTGTTTTGACATGAATGTATGATTCACGGTTACAGGAATAACCTTGTCCTACCAAAGCTGTCCTAAGAAACATATCTGTACGGTAGTAGAATCTCTAGCATTTCTCAAATCTCTTAGAAACAGAAGAGAGGACTATGCAGAGCTCACACTGTGCTCACTGGGATAAAATAATAAGAATCAGGAGGGTAGAAACTACTTTTCAGAACATTTTTTTTTTTTTTTAATATGAAATACTGAAGGAAAATATCCCCAGTCTAAATACCAGGGATTAACAGCAATGCTAATAGTCTGAGTGACTAAAAAGAACCCTGGTTATTGTACTGAGGCATATGTGAAGGTAAGAAAGAAATCCTGTGGTGTCCTATAGCCTGAATTCCTAGGAAGTATGTTTGAGAAACTTCTACTGGAGCTCCTGAAGAGCAGCCCAGAGAATCAGCTTGAAGTAAGCAGACTTGACCCCAGTGGAGAGCAAGGATATAAACTCTCAATGTTCTTCACAGAACTACTTCTTGATTTTGATAACAACAAACCATGGTGTCAAGGGAGAAGAGATCCTCTCCCTCAGGCAACCAATAAACATGGCCACAGCCCAAACTGTTGGTATTTCACCTCTTCCACCCTCCTGCAAATCTGGCTGCTGGATCTTAATAGTGTTGAACAGTCAGGCCCTTTGGTGCCCTACATCCAATTCTTATACGGGGGGATAGGTAAAATCTACCTAGTATTGCTGACCAGGATATAGTGTGTATGTCCATGCCTTGACTATCTGGCATGCTGTGCTTCAGAATCATACCAGTCCTGGTATATCTGAGGACCTGCATCAAAAGAATGATGAAGGTAGGTCTAGATCGTTTTGGTGTATTTCTAAACCACTCTGGTTTGCTCTAAGGAGCAGAACTCTAATTAACCCAACGAGCGAACTCCAGAATCTGAACAAGATCTAGAAATGTGCTGATTTGAAGGAATGGCACTTTGACTGTCAAATTCTTTAATCGGTTAAAAGGATGTTTGCAGAACAGCATAAAGACATGGAACAGAGCAGTTAATATATCCTCAAAAAGGTTTTTTTTCCATTGATGTTAAATATTCACTTGTCTATGGTTGCAGACCTGAGTCAAACTTCTTTGCTTAAAACATTGTGGAAGTAAAAATCAGAAAAGTTGACACTGACTGTTCCAGTGTCAGGTCTGTGTATTATAAGCCTTTTCTGACCCCAGGAAAAGACACAAGTTAATCTCTTTTTCTGGGTAACTATAATGTAATAAATTTATTATTAGTTTGGCTATATATCTCACAATTGACAGTGGTGTTTTGGTCTCTTTAAAATAGCTGAGATTTAGCTAGATTTTTTTTTCTAAATTTGCTTAAGCCTGCAGTACTTTTACATACCACTTATTGTCAAGAAAAGCTGAACATGCACATCCTGGAGATAATCTCCGAAGTGACATACTCTGCCGTCCAACAGTTCAGACCAGTGAGTGCTGCCTGACAGCATGATGCTGAGAGCAGACAAGGAAACTTTGGAAGTGTTGCTTGTGAAGCTTTCTGACAGTAACATTTGCAGCAGCTCCCTGAAAACGCCCTCCTCAGAGGAGAAAAGAGAAAGTTAAAACTTGCCCATTTTAAAGAAGATTTTGGAGGAATCTGTCCAAGGGAGAAGTGAGAGATGCACTGAATGAAGCAGCAAAGACTCCCTCTACTAGAGTAATGTTTCAAAGCCTGTGAGGAGAAAACAAAATCTCTACTACAGAAACATCTGTACTACACCAGGGCAGATAAAGCAGAGATGAGAGGAATATCTGGAGGAAGCTGAACAGAACAGAGAGAAGCTCCTGAGAGGAAAGTTGCTGCAGAACGAGAGCGCAGATAGGAAGGAGGACCATGAAGACGAAAGACTGTGGTAAAGTAGACTTAATCGGAAACAGGTTTCAAGAGGTTAAAGACAACAGAGCCAGACTGGAAAACAGAGTTTATGTGATAGTCTTTAAGGTCCCTTCCAACCCAAATGATTCTATGATTCTATGACTCTATGATAGGATAATAACAGACTGCAGCTATTTTGAGCAAGTCTGGGGAAGAAGGAGAGGAAAAGGGAACCGTTGTAATTTCAGCCTCATTAATGCACAGAAAGTATTTCTAAAGTTATGGTGGAGACTGGTTGTGATCAGTGTCTGCCACCACTGATGTAAACCCAAAGTTTTCCCCAAATAACAGAAACAGAAAAAAACCCCAGTGTTTACACAGAGAAAACAGACACTTGTCATCAACAGCCTCACTATATTCAGAGAGTATATTCTGAACTACCCAAGGAATACATCGATCTAACCAAAGAATAGTTGGATAGATGCAGACAGGAAAGCTTTGGAAAGGCAATAGCACAAAATATGGGGATGCTTTACTTATATTCAGTGTTGTTTTACACTGCCTTATAAAGGTAAGCTGTTTCACAGATGCTATTTGCTTATATTAGCAAGTAACAACATGGGTCTGAACGTAATTTTCTGAGCAATCTGGACAGTTTCTTTTCCTATGCTGGGCTCTACAGATAACACCTTCAGGGATGCCTCTGTGATCTAGATCTATTATTGATTATATACCCAAGATTGCCAAATTAAGGTTTAAAGTAATTCTGTATTACAGTATCTCTCATATCTGAGCAATATTAAAGTAACTTGTTGGCACTGAAAAAACAGTTCTACTTTGTAAAACGGACTTAGTCAGTTCTTCCAGATGCAAGGGGTCATTATTAGACTAATCCCATTAATATTATCAAATTATAAACAAAGAAGAACAAGACAAAATAAGCCCATTTTTGCAGCCTTTGGCTGTCCTGATGATACAAAATGAACAACTCAGCAGAAATTTAATCTTTTGATCTTTAAGCAGTTTTTAGGCATGTCCTTTCACCTAAAATATGCACATCATTGGCAGGAAGAGTAAGATTTTTACAGGCTTAAGTAAAATATTGTTGCGACCTGTACCTGAAATCCATTGTTCCTGTTCAACCTTCTGCCTTCATACCCTTCAATTTTAATACTGTGTTTGAATGTGAATTTGTTGTGCACTAACAGAACAAAGTCATTGAGCAAACTGCTGAGCTCTTGGGATAGCAAATTCAGACTTGTTGGTTTTTAAACATCTTTCTCAGAACAGTGTTTGTGATTCAAATCACCTAAAATCTGCATTAATTCATGCCTTTGTAATTAATTCTACTGAATCTAGGGGAGTAAAAATAGCAAGTAATAAACATGCTGCAATTCACATACGTACATGAGCATAGTCTTCTCCTGCTACGCTACTACAGTCTTTGCTACAGCGTTTCATGAAAGTGCTAGAGTGAACGGAAAGTCAGCAAATGATCAATGATACGCAATGTGTCATCTCAGTATCACGAATGAATTAAGTGAAAAATTCCAAAGGCATAAGGCCATTACTGTATACACCAATTTCTGTTATGTTGATCAGTTACTGGGCAAAGCACTGGCACAAAAATGTCTTTTTGACTCCATGAGCAATACTTACTACTGGTCAAGGGAGTTTGATACCAGGAATACCTTGTTGAGCTAAAGGATGACAATAAATCCTTCAGGCACATCAGTAAGATAATGCTGGTGAATCGATTTGGGACTGCCTTAAAAAAACATTACATATTTTATTATTGATAGGAGAAAAATATGAAAGTCCTATAGAAATGGGAGGTCTGAGAGAAAACTGGATATTAAAGAAATAGAATTTTCCCCAGTCTATTTTATTTCTGTTGCTGGGAAAGCTGCAACAAAGAAAAACACTTAGGTTCCTTTCACCTGTGCCTCACATAAAAATAGCAAGAGTCCAAACAGTTAAAAATAGAGGGATTATCCAAGACTTTAGATTAAAAGAGCTTGTTTCCTGCTTGCCACATATGCTCCTTCTTAGACCAGGTGATTATATTCCTACACAAAATACTTCAGGCCCACTTTTCAATTGCTGATAGGTGTGCACCTAAACCTCCGCTGTCCTGCAGTGGAGCGCTACTAAATGTGTAGCACAGGTATTTGATAACCTTCTTGCCAGAGCTAGTGCTGAGCCTGTCTTGCACTTCAGAAGAAACATCTGGACATCATTTTTGTGGGTGTTGGTAATATGCAAAATGTACAGACACAGTTTCTGAAGGTACTGTGCACAATTTTCTAATGTCCATATTTTTAAAGATATTTTAAAAAATGTGTAAAAAGACACATATCATAGCCTGGCCAATTACAGGACTCAG